CCCAGTACACCAATTCCTGGGTTTAGAGTGGTGGCCTTAAATATCCCTGAGCTGCCCTAATGTCTGAGCAGGCTTCTGGCTAGGGCCTGGGTACACTTGGGAAGGTATCTAGTTGTGCCTCTCTGGGGCCTTTATGAAGCCATTGTCTGTGGGGGGAACCTTTGGCTGGGGGCTGTGTATCCCAGTTCCTGTTGTCTGTGTAGGCTTCTGGCTAGGGTCTTCAGGCACTTATCAGTGATATTGGGGCAAGACTATGGCTGTTGCCTGTGCGTCTGAGTGTTGCCTGTGGCCGATGATATGCCAGGACTCTGGATAAAGCTTGCACACCTGTGCCACTCTTTTCTAGATGAGCTGTGTCTTGGGCATGTGTGCCCACACCTCTGGGGTTGGGCAAGGTGGGGCCCTAGCTGGGATCTGCCTGCCGCCATTCCACTCTGGTCCACACAGCTGCTCCCCAGGATGTGTGTGCACTTATGGATGGTATGGTGGAACTCTGGATGAAGATTGTGCACGTGTGCAGCTCTTTTCCAGCCACAGGGACATGTGCCCTCACCTCGGGTCAGCGTGGGGCCCTGGCTGGGACCTGACCTCAGCCACACTACTCTGGTCCGCACAGTTGTTCCCTGGGATGTGCGCACACTTGTGGATGGTATGGCATAACTCTGGATGAAGGTTGCGCACTTGTGCGGCTCTTTTTTCTTTCCTTCTTTTTAGTATATGTGCTGCTGAAGTGAGGACCATTGTTTTATTTTTATGTTTTGTTGTCTTACATGGAAGTCTGCCCTTTTGGTGGAGTGGTAACCTTCTTCAGACTTCACTGCCTAGGGCAGTCCATCTCCGTGGAGTGGAATACTGCAGATACCCAAGCCAGCCAATGCCGAAGATGTCCTGAAGGCACCAATGGCTGTTAGGATCCTCTCAACTACTCCTGCTCCAACACAGCAGACAGATCTGCCCAGGAAATCTCTCTCTCACTGGGTTGCCTGCTTACTTTGCATTGGCAGTGGCCCTGGTATCTTATCAGTGGCTTCAGTAAAGTGGACACAAAGCCCAAGCTTGTAGCATCTGATTGTGTGTTGACCACAGCACTGGGGTTCTGGACTGGTAATAGCATGCACATTCGGGGCACACACTCCCTGCTGCCATGTTGGTAATGGTTTGTGTACTAAAGCTGCTTTTGCAGAGGTGGGAAGCTGAAGTCAAGAGCAGGAACATGAATGAAGTTACAGTATCTGCAGGGTTGGATGAAGCACAGAATTCCACGTGACAGAGATTGATATCTGTAGCACAGTTATGCATAGCAGGAACAGAGTTCCAAATGCCAGGGTGGTGTTAGCTCACCATAAAGATGTGCAGAGGAGCCCTGGTGCCAGAAGTATGTCTTACAGCAGGCACAGTCATAGTGGCTTCTCTATGTGATGCAAAAGTCAGTTCCCTATGGCATCTGAGCTGTGAATGTAGCACAGGCATGCACAGAGGACCTCAGCTCAGAGGCATGGTTTGTGACCTAGATCGATATAACAATGGCTCCATCATCTGAGTTGTGATTAGGGGACATGCATAAACAGGTAGTTTCTGGTGTGGGTGTTCTCAGAGGAATGCCATTTGTGAGATAAGGGCATGTCCAGAAGTAGGAGAGGTGAAATCTCCAATACTGGAGTGGCAAAGCTACAATTTACAGTCTCCAGTTTGCTGATCTTGCCAACAATCCTTGCTCTGTGCTGGGCTCCATGGATTTCCTCCATTGAGTTGCTGGAGATTCTTAAATGGCTTTAAGCCTACTAGGAGCGTTTTGCTCATGGATCACTACATATATTCTGTATATGTGAGGAGTCAGAAAGGGAGGTAGCTTCTAGATTGCTATTGTTATAACATCACTCCTCCAAAGTAATATTTCAACATGACAATTTCTTCATGTGTTGATCAATGCAGAAAAAAAACAGAATTGGCCTTTTCTCTCCACATTTAATTCTGACCTATCAATGTCAATGATTAAGTGTATCTTAGTCACAGAATTTATTAATTAGAAGAAAAATACATCTCTTGACATTTAGAGAGATTATTTAAATTTGCATATAAAAGGGTGAACAGTATTAGCATGTAAAATTTGTCATTTTATCTCATTACATCCACCAGATTATCTATACTATTTTAAAATTAATACAAGAAAAAATATTCTAATGGTAAATCTGATGATTTGAGGCTAATATCCTCAGAATAAAGCGATTGATGGGAAAAACAACTGAAAGCCAGAAGAAAAAGGATAACTAATAGTTTTATTTTTCTTCCATCTCTTCTTTGAACCTTTCCTTAGTTTTGAGAATTTATCATCATGAAGTAATTTAAGGTCTATTTAATAATATATGGACCCTAGCAAGAGATAATTGCTTAGTATCATCACATAACTCTCAATGCATCTGCCTATCCAACCCATTCTTTGTGAAGAATGGTGGGCACCATAAATCTTGGCAATGATATTCCTATTTGCTAAATCTGAAGGGTATTTCTAACACGCCAAGCTCATCGCATTATTTAGATATTTGAAAGGAGACAACTGACTTAACAAAGTAAAAAAAACAACTTTTCTGCCAGTAAATTATATAGCAATTTCATGGTAAAACATGAACCTTAATTCCATTAACATCAAAATAAAAAGAATGCCCACTATCATTTCTATATTAATTTAGTTCTGAGATTTTGGGACAATGGTATTGGTAATAAAAAGAAAAGTCAGTCTTGGCCATAACCCACAGTTTTCTTCTCTTTCTGTGCTTCCCTAAACACTACTGGGTTGTTACATGTAGCATTTTCAGGAGTCTGTAGGAGTGCTCAAAATCAGATTTCTATGAAGGGATTAAAACCTGAGATATAGCTGGCCATGGTGGTGGACACCTGTAATCCCAGCACCCAGGAGGCTGAGACAGGAGGATTCCCATGAATTCAAGGGCACAGTGGGCTACATAGTGAGTTCAAGGCCAGCCCGAACTATATAGCAGGACTGTCTTGAAGAAAGAAGAAGGAGGAGGAGAAGGGAGAGGGAAAGGGGGAAGGGGCGGGGGAGGGGAACCACAAAATAGGAGGAGGCTAAGATATAACTGAGGAGCAAAGGGCTGGGGATTTACGCAGTGGTTCCGCCACCTGCCTTACAAGTGCAAGGACCCGAGTTCGATCCCTGGTACCACAAAAAAAAAAAAAAGAGTGTAACTGAGAAGCAGAAAATAGGTCCTTTGGATTGAGGTAAAGACTGTACGCTTGTGACCCTAACAGCCTGTTAGATACTCTCAAGTGATTGCTGCTATACAACAAATAGATCCTAGTGATTGTCTTTGAAATAATGCTATTCTTAAAAATGGGGGCATAATTTCCTAGAATCTCTCTCTTTCAGACACATAAATAGTCTATGAACTAAAGCTGAGCACTGAGACTGCACTGATCAGCTGTGGAGGTGCAGGATCACCCAGAAGGTCAGTTCTATCACCACAGTGCTGACGGGAACGTTGACCTTGGGCCTGCAGCAAGGCCAGTTTGCAAAGCCTGAGATGAATCATGGCGATGATTTCATGGAGGTGCCTTTGGATGAATGCCACACATGTCATTTCAGAGCCTAGGACAGTGGTAGATTACGGATAAGGTAAGAGACCACAATCTATGCTTCTCAAGTAAGCAAGCAGCTTGAGGAAAAGCCAAGGAAGTAAACAACATGCTTGCATCTGCAAGGGACTGCCAAAGTGCAGCAGCTGTTTAATGAAATAAAATCTGTTGCTACAAACAACACAAAGAACGAAAACCAATATAAATGATAGATTGAACTAGCAGGTTTGAAGAATGTGCACTTTTAGAAGTGAATAGATTTTCAAAGAAAAAAGTGAAATGTTGAAAGTACAAATTGTCATAGATGACAGGAGAATCAGTAAATGAAAAAATACATACAAACATCTGTCGCAGAAGGTGGCATTGGGACGTGAGAACTAACATTTCTCTAATTCAGACTGTGGGAGAAAAGAACAAGAAGACCAATATTTTAAAGGATTCTTGCCGGGGATTTAGGTCAGTGGTTCCGGCGCCTGCCTCGCAAGCACAAGGGCCCGAGTTCAATCCCCAGTCCCCCCACCAAAAAAAGATTCTTAAACATAAATCATGTAAAACTATGAGTTAATCAAACTAAGAAATAGGTAATTTTATCAGATAATATAAAAAAGCAAGTTAATTTAAATGGAGTCTTTAAAGACAAACACCAGCTCATAAAAAACACTGAGAAACAGCAGATAAGCAAAAATGGAATATTAATTAAGCTGAGTATGACAGCAGCCATAAAGGGGACAACCAAATGAACTCAGATTAAGCCATTACTGTGCATTGAACCTGTCATACACCGGGTCATTGCCTTGTGGTGCCTTTACTCATCATTGATTTGTTGAAGTTTCTTCAACACTAATCCACAGGTGCACTTTGCAAACCATTTGTCATATGTAACCAAGTACAATCATAGACTTTGTAAATTCTTTTGTTAATATTCAGGCTTATCCCACAGAAAGCACAAGATCCTTCCTGTCTAACTCCATGTTGCCAAACAGATAGTATGTGACAGTTCACCTATTTTGGAATTGTCCTTTTACATGTTTGTTTTTTCGCATAAAACTGTCAGATCTTTATGACTCACACATATCTATCACTACCGGCTCCTTTGGATTGGACTCTGTTCTTTTCTGCATTAGCAAGTGGACACAATCACAGACATTTCTGTAAACTCTCCTTGTTGGATAAAACCACTCACAGAAAGATTCCATGCTTCCGCCAGGACTCCAAGTTAAAAAGAGTAAAGCAGATTCTGCCCTCTTTTGGCAGCTTGGTTAATGGCCATGTAATATTTTTGGAAATGTTTCCTTTTTACCCTGTCACAATCCTAGGTAAGCAGTTATTAGATTCCTAAATATGTAAAATTGAGTAGAAAATTTTGTCTAACTTACCAAACTGTAGATGCTTATCATGCACCAACTTACCCGGAAGCAGGAGTGTCACAAAGAAGAAAAGAATGTAGAGCAACAGATGCAGTCGCATCGCTGAAGGGCCAGAGAAAAGAGGCAGCAGATTCGTCGGACCTGGAGCATCTGAGCAGGGCAGGTCTGGGCCTTCTTATAATGCACTTGGGCTTGCGGTTTGTTCTTGGTTAGCAGAGCCTAACAAAAAGAGAGTAAGATTGTCTCCCACATGAATATCCAGAGACACAAGAGTACATGAATGTGGCAATAACTCAATGGATGAGAAAGCAGAAGACCAAAGATAACCAAAACAGATTGAAGGGAAGGATCAAAGTCAAAGGACAGACACTGTCCGGCTTTAGTGCTTCCTGCCAGCCCACCATAATCAAGGCATTTGGTGTTAGCAAAATAACAGACAAATGGATCCATGGAAGAAAATAAAAAGCCCACAAATAGGTCTAGAAAAATATAGTCAGTTGAATTTAACCAAGTAGTAAAGACAATTTGGTAAAGAAGAGATAAACTTTAAAACAGATGATGCTCTAACAAATGGACATCGACGTACAGAAAAGCACACCTAGAGACAGACCATAAATCTTGCACAAAAATTAAGTCAAAATTGACCAGAAACTTCAATATAAAACACAAACTAATAAAGTTTATAGAAAATATCATCGGAGGAAGTACGTGGCCTGGATATGACAGTAATGTTTTACATACAATTCCAAAAGCAAGAGCTATGAATGAAATAATTGATAACTCCAATTTCATTAAAATTAGAAAGTTTGCATATTTGAAGGACACTTTTGGGAGACTGACTGAAAGAAAATTATTGCAAAAACATATACCATATGAAACCTAGTATCCAAAAAAAAAGATTATAAAGGAACATTTAAAAGTCAATAGGAAAATAAGCAAACCAATTAAAGTTGGACCAAAACTCTGAAGAGATACACCTTGCCGAAACAACTGGAAAATAAACATAGGATACAATAAATAATATCACATTTAGTTGGGAATCACACGTTAAATCCAAATACTATCACATATCCACTAGAATGACTGAAACCTAGAACACCAACCGCACTGGTGGAGAGACTACAGAGCAACAAAAACATTCATTCACTGTTCTACAATACAAGACATAAGTTGGTCCCTGTGTCAGAATGTTTGCCAAAGTGTGTCCTTGCTCTACAATTTAGTGACCATACTCTTTGGAATATATCTAAGTGAGTTGAAAATTTATATCCACATAAAACCTGCCCTTGAATGATAGTTTAGAGCAGTCTTATTCATGATTGCTAAAACATGGGAGCAAACAAGGTATCCTTCAGTAGCTGAACAGATAAATGATTTTACATTTATACACTGGAATATTATTCTGAGACAAAAAGAAGTGAACTGCCAAGGCACTGAAAGATACTGCATTAAGTTTATACTGCTTAGTGTCAGAAGCCAACCTGCAAAGGTCTTTTACTGCAATTTCAACTATTTGACATAAAAGTCAAAACTACAGCAAGAGTGAGAAAATTGGAGGTTGCCAGAATTAACGTGAGAGAGAAAGAGAGATAAGAATAGGTAGATCATGGAAGAATCTTAGTGCAGTGAAACTCTCTGATAGTCATGGAGTGTACAACACAAAGTGTGTAGACTTTAGTTAATAATGAGGTATCGATGTTGGCTGTCAGTGGCAACGAATGAACCCCACTAATGCAAAGTGTTAATAATTGGGGGAACTTTGGGTTACCAGGGAGCATAGGCAAAATCTATACTACTGCTCAATCTTTCTGTAAACCTTAAACTGCTCCAAAAATGCAGTCTATTACATAAAAGAATTGATTTGAATTATTTTGAGTTGTTTCTGTTGCAGTGATCTGCATATTTCCTGATGCTTACAGTTCACTGGATAACTGCAGCTGTAAGATAAACTTGTAATTGAATAGGGAATATTTTTAGAAATCTTTTGGCTGTTGTTGGTATTTTTCAATTCTATACAGAGTTTAGAATTTCTTTACCAATTTTTACCAAAAAATTATGGTAATTTTACTAGGGATTGAATGTAAAGTTTATTTTGAGAGAGAACTAACACCTAAATGATGAGTTCTACTTTAAATTTGGGATGTTTCTGTAATTATTTAGATCATCGTTGAATTCCCTCCACAGTGTTTTGTGGCTTTCATTTTTTTTACTAAATTTATTCCTAATTACTTTATTTTTATTGTAAAATGTCTTTTCTCATTTCATCTTTGCATCATTTAGAGCTCAATAGAGAAATATATTTTAAATTTCATTATTGGTCATGAGATTTGTACATTTACTGTACTTATTAGCTGTAGTAGTTATTTATAGATGTGTTAAGAATTTTCTACATATAAGATCACATGTTCAAGTAATACTATGGTCTCAAGGAGCATCATTTTCCTACCAATGACTCAAATTTATTCTTCTTTATGGCAGAGTTGTACCCTATCGTATATAAATATCACATTTTCTTTAACTATTCACCTAGTGATAATCATACAGGCTTTTATGAGTTATGCTGCTATAAACATGGGTATTTGTGCATTATTGCAATATGACAATAATATGTAACATGTATGTGTAGTATGTAATGTGTAATGTGTGATATGATAATATAATAATGTAATAACATAATGCTGTGGGGAAGACACCTAAAAGTGGAGTAGCTGAATGGAATTTTCACTTTTAGTTTTCCAGACACACAAGCTTAAAGAGCTTACGTGATTTCTCTTATATGAGAAACCCAAAGTACAATAAATTAAGAGCAAAATGAAAGACAGATGATAGGAAACAGGGAGATAAATCATTTCCAAATGGGAAGAGGACGGAGAGATGGCAGGACAGAGAAGGGAAGCAGAAGGAAATCTAAAAAGCATTGATATGTGTTACACACTCGCTAACTCCCTGCAATGAATGTGACCATTATGTATTGTGGATATACACTAAGAAAAACAAAAACTAAGAAAAAAAACATGTTTTCTGTAAATAAGTTTTTATTTCTTTCCTTTCAATCTCAATGCAATTAATTTATCGCTTCTGACTGATTTTACTGGCTAAAACTTTCAATGCAGTATTTAAGAAATAGTCATGAGACTGGATAAAGACGCGGGGTTTTTTGTTAAATGAAGTACTACTGAGCCATAAAGAATGAAAAATTAGACTTTTATAGCTAGGTGGATGCACACTGAGGCCATGCTCAAGTGAAATAAATAAGACACATGTGTAAATACCGAAGAGTTTCTCTGATGTGAAAAACAAAGTGTAAATAAGGATCAAAATGTATAATTGATACTGTGAAATAGGAAGCAAATGTCTAAAGGAGTAGGGGAAGTGGGAGGGGTAGGGTAAAGGAAAGAAGGGAAAAGAAAAAATATGAGAAAAGGAAAAAATGGAAACAAAGTCTTTATAAATAGATGGGAGGAGGGGGAAGGGAGGGCAGGGGAATGGGGAAAAAATAAGAACCAAGATACGTCATGTAAAGGTACAGGATCCTAATGATGAATGCAACTGTACTGTATATCTAAAATGTACCAATAAACTTATTGGAAAAAAAAATAAAATAAATAAAGAAATAGCCATGAGAATGAACAACCTGGTCTTGTTCTTGATCTTGGAGACAAAGCAATTACATTTTATCGTAAAGTATGATGTTCTTTATGAGATTTTATAGTCTTTACCCAGCTGAGAAATTTTCCTTTTGATTCCAAGTGTTTTTGAGCTTTTTTCATGAAAGAAAAAATGATCTGTAAAATGTTGTCATTCGCTAAGATGATCATTTGGTCTTTGTACTTTATTCATATTATAAATTACATTGATTTATTTTGTACATGAAAATGATCTAGCATTGGTGGGAGTTAATATCACTGGTCATGATGTATAGTCACATTCATATGTGGTTGCATTCAATTTGCTAATTCTGTATCAAAAGTCAAACTATTCACAGAAAAAGGTCTGAATTTGCCTTCTGTTATAAGGAGAGATCTCTGAAATTGATCGTGGAATGATCTGCCTAAAAGGGGTCTTTCTTTGCCTGGAGCTTTGTCACAGAGAGATTTTTTTGTGATCTATGATGAGGACTTTAGAAAATTCCATTAAGTTCCCACTTCTGGAAGAACTAGAGTCTATCAGTTTGGACAAACGTCCAATCCTCTGTAAGGTGATGGAAGCTACTGACCTGGGCAGTTTGTGGTTTAGCCTCAACACACACTCTGAACGTCAAAGAGACCTGGGTTCCTGCTGGGAGAAGATGAAGCAATGTCCTTCAGTCCTGCTGGAAGGGTAACACAGCTCTGCTGATAAGGGCAGTGTCCCATTTGAAAACCTCCCGGACTCGGTCTTATGTATCTCCTCCTTGAGTGCTCACGTGTGTGTCTTTTTCCAATATTTAAAGTATAATCCCAAGGACAGCATGTTCTGGGTTTTGTGAGTCATTTTAGGGAACTGTGAACTCAGAGAGTGATCAGAAAGGGGAATTCCTCTATGTGCAACCAGGCAGTGAGAAGAGTGAGGTCCCAAGGAACCAGCAATGTCCAGCTGGTGTCTCGAGTGAGGGTAGTGTTCAGAGTTTGGCTTCACTCCTTTTCGGTAAGAGCCAGAGGGTCTAGGCCTGACTGGCATTTTGGAAGACAGCGCCATTAGTCTAAAGTTTGACAAAATTCTTACATTAATATTTCTTTTTTTAAGGAGGCATTAAGTTGATTGGTACATTTTAGAACCTCTTTCTTTTTGTAGGTCTACCAAGGCTCTTTATGTGTTTTTTAGTTAATTTTGTTAATTTGTGTTCCGAGAATTTATCCATTCCTCGTAACTTATGTGATTTGTTGGCTGACAATTGTTCATAGTATTCCATTCTAATCATTTGGGGGTGCGAAATGAATGCAGACCCTTGCTCTTGTGAGGCAGGCAGTGAAACCACTAAACCAAATCCCTGGCCCTATAATAACTTTTTAATGAATTAATTTTATGGTACAAATATTTAAGGTATACAATGTAGTGACATTCATCACTGGAAACTTGCACCTTTACATAATCCATCTTGGTTCTTACTTTTTCCCCATTCCCCTGCCCTCCCTTCAAGCCCTATATACAAAGACTTTGTTTCCATTGTTTCTTTTTCTCATGTTAATTCCATTCCCATCTTTCTTTTCCCCTACCCCTCCCATTTCCCCTTCCCCTTT